ATACACTGTGTCACCTAGCTGGCCTCTGGTATCCCTTATGAATACTAATAATATACCTGAAACTATCTTATATAGCTTGATTTTTAATTTGCTTTAAAAATTGTTATCTTTTGTTTTTATATCGTATTCACTTCCAAATATATTCTTCCCCTTACTCCAGAGAGAGCCATCCTTTATATCAATGAATGAAAAAGAGACAAAAAGCAGCAATGTAAAACTGCACTGAGTCTGACAATATATGTAGTGTTAAACATGCACAGACCCTCCCTCTCCCTGACCTCTACAAAGACGACGTGTGTGTGTGTGTGTGTGTGTGTGTGTGTGTGTGTGTGTGTGTATGTATTTTTTTTTCCTATCCTCTTCTCTTTGGAGCCAAGCTTGGTCATAATTACAGTTTTAAACTCACTGCTGTCAAGTGCCCCGCTTTATCCACTTCAGAACAACCATATAAGGTGGTTAGGACTGGTATTCATAACCTTGTATTACAAATAGGGAAATCAAGGTGTGGACAGGTTAGGTGATTGCTCAAGGGTCCTTCGTGGTAGAGCTGGAATTACAACTCCAACTGCCTTCCTCAACAATTAGTGCTGTGATTTTCCCATAAGATCACACTGGCAACAGTCAAGTATTTATGCAGGTTAATATTTACACTTTTAACATTGACCTTGTGCCCAAGTGAAAGTGGACGTGTTGCTGAGAGCAGAAGGTGGGCTCACATTCCATGAAGCTAAGCAAATACAAGCAGTACTCTAAACAGAGAAGATGCATCCCTTTGGGAACAGAGGTTGCAAGAAGTAGAGGTTCCTAGAAACTGGACTCTCAAACAAACATGCAAAGTAATAAACTCCATGGAGACACGTGGTGAAGAGACCGCTACATGGCATCCATGTTCTTCTAGAAACAAGAAGGCTGATCCCAGAACTGTCTCCAATTTATTCTCTGATCATGGCCCATCTCTGACCCTCAAATTTTGGCAGAAAACATTTTTTGAGAGATGTTGCTTATTATGAAAAGTTTTGTAACTTACAGATAAAAGCAGCTATATTAACATAGAACTCAGAGGGACTTAAAAACAATGCTTCTCTTTTAATATTTCTCCTAGTAAAATATGCTATTAATATTTTATAATATATTGATTATTATGATTTTAATTATATTAATAATATATTTTGTTTCTTGGTGTGCCATGGCAAACAAATGTCAGAAAACACATAAACATCAGTCTAAAAAAAGATGGAGATCCACACATAGGGGAACATTTTAAAATTTAAATTCACAGACAACTTTGAGGTCAAAAAAACTAATCCTGAAAAGGGGCTTTTCTGGAGTGGGGTGGGGGGGAACAAACCAAAAAATTACCATCTGGTAGTTTACCCGTAAGGCTAAAACCTACGTCTGCAGATTTGGATTTAAAAAAATCCAGGGCTGTGAGGATGTTTACAGTAATTTTCCTGTTAAGGTGCTAAAACGTTTTAAATATAGGACATATCACAACTGCTTATATCACGGTTTCTTTTTAATGGATTTATCCCACAGCAAAGTTGAATGGAGAGGTTCCAAAATGAAAACTATTTGCTTTGAATATGAAATTCTTCATAAGATGATGACTGATTTGTTTAGATGGGCTACAGGATCAATACCATACAAATACTGCTATAATTATTTGTAATAAGGAAAAACAAACATTGTGAGCTCTTTGGATAGGTCTGGCTTCTAACTACTCTTAGTGCAGCAGTTAGTGTAGTTTGTGCTTATGTTAAACAAACCACGACTGCTACATATATTTAGATTTTTAGCTGTAAAAAACAAAGTCACCATGGGAATGGGAAATGTGTTTTTTTTTTATGGTAGATAGAATATTGAGTTAGCAAACATTTATTAAGGACCTAATATAAGCAAGACGTTGTGCTAAGTACTGGGGATTGAAAATGAAAAAAAAAGATCAAGTTCTTGCCTTCAAGGAGTTTACATTCTGTTAGGGAATATTATTTATAAACAGAAAAGTAATTACATGATAATTTGTGGAAGGAAAGAGCACAAACTAGGGGGAATCAGAAAAGCCTTCAAATAAGAAGTGGTGTTTTAGCTAAGCCCTGAAGGAAGATTCTATTCTAAAAGGTGGAGATGAAGAGGGAGTGTATTCCAGGCGCTAGGCTGATGGACAGCCTATAGAAAGGTGGGAGATGGAATGTCATATTGTTAAAACAAATGGGTCATTTTGTCTGGAATTTAGAGTGATTGAGAGGGCAATACGAGTTTAGGGTCTGACATGGGATTAGCAGTGATTAAGACAAGGTAGAAAGGGACTTATGGGTAAAGGACAGGATATATGGTTAACTATAGCATCAAGATCTCAAGGTGAGAAGCAGGATGAGGCCATAATAGGTACGGTGGGCTGGGAAAGCAGGGAGAAGATAAATATAAGTTGTGGTAAGGATGAAGACTAATTTTAGGAGGAAAAAGGAGAAATGGAGGGAAAGCAAGTTATGATCACAGAAACAGACAAATCATTCTTAAAGAAGAAATAAGGCACTTCTCTGGATGAAGCACTGTAAACAGTGAATCCATTAGGACTTGTGCTGAAATCAGATTATTTAACATTTTTATAAATGACTTGCAAAAGATCTGCATATGGTCCCTAAGCTTCTATACTGAGAGAAATATAGGTTTATAGGTCTTTAGCTGTGGTGTGTCATTAAAAGTCATTATAGTGTATTTATCCTCGAGACAGTTCGACACAACGTGTAGTGGACCCAAAGGCTGATATGGTGTGGACAGCGTCATTAGGTATAATATTAGAGACAGGAAGAAAACACTTCTCCATCCTTGAATGAAATAACAGTGTGTCCCACACCTTTTCAGCTCTGGTTGCCAAACCACAAGAAAGACACAATGGAACTGGAAAAGTTAGAGAAGGCCTGGAGGGCAGCTAAAGTGACCAACATGAGGAAGAACTGATAAGAACAAACAAAAAAACCATTTAGCAACCTTCAGTCTGGGAAGATAGAATCTTGGAAGGCATAGAATGGAAGTTTCAAAAGATAAAATTATGACTATAGAGATAAATCCTGGAAATGAGAACCTGAAGAGATAACTTGAAAATGTTAAATTTGGGGTAAATGAAAAGTACTTTTTCACAGAAAATAGTGAATTTGTGGAACTCAATATCCAAAATGTAAAAAAAGACTGAAAGCACTTTTTGGATAAGTGTTTATACATGTTTTTATATTCCCTGATAAAGGTCTCATTTCCAAGATATATAAGGAAATGATTCAAAGTTATAAGACTGAAAGCCATTTGCTAAAGATAGTCAAAGGATATGAACAGGCAACGTTCAAAGGAAGAAATAGAAGCTATTAAAAATCATATGAAAACATTCCCTAAATCACTAATAATTAGATTAATGCAAAGTAAAGCCCTTTGAGGTTTCTGCTCATACCCATCAGATTAGCAAAGATGACAGAAGAGTAAAATGATGGAGGGGCTATGGGAAAACAGGTACATTAGGTAATGACTGGTGGAACTGTGAAATGGTTCAGCTGTTCTGGAAAGCAATTTGGAACTACATCCAGAAAGTTACCAAACTGTGTATACATTTTGACCCTATACTCCAAAAGAAATCAAAGAAAAAGGAACAGGACCTGTATATACAAAAATATTTATAGCAGTGTTTTTGTGAAGGCCAAAAACGGGAAACAAACAGCATATCTTCATGTTAGGGAATGGTTAAACAAATTGTGGCATATGAATAAAATGGAATATTATTGCATCATAAGAAATTATGAAATAGACAACTTTGAAGGAAACTTAGGAAGACTTTCATAAACTGATGAGAAAAATGATAATAACACTATAGACAAAAACAACTCTGAAAGACTTTAGAACTCTGAAAAAGCAATGAGGAACCATGAATCCAAAAGATGACGGTGAAACATGCTGCTCATGAACTGAAAATGCAATCACATGCCTAAATGACATCTTCCTACTTTGACAACTCGTACCACTGTCACTGGTCAAACACGTCGATCAGACTTTTTATTAAATGTCAAATTAGCTACTTCTTTGCAGGGCCTCTGTGTCCCAAAAGCTGGAGCCATGAGAGCATTGTCTACTTCCAACTTAGGTAGTATATAGTTGTACTTGGAAGGCCAAAAGAAATGCTATTGGAAACCCATGACTTGTCCTTTATACCCTCTCAAGGGATATCATTGGAGGGGCTACAGCCAAGCTCCAAGAAAATGGTACTGATGACAAGCTACTTGGAGTGTTTATTTCCTTGCGTCTGAGTTGCATACTTCTCTGAGACCCTTGTGTTGCCTGTGTGTGGCCATGTTTAAAGATCAGGTGTTGTTTACGGCTAGATTCTCTGAGCCTACAGATCTGGGAGGCAGATACAAGTTGTAGCCTACATTGTGGAGCAGCTGTGGGTGGTGGTTTGTAGACTGTTTGGACTAGGAAAACTGTTCCTAATAACAGACGAAAACTCTACACAAATTTCCCTGATCATTTAAAATAAAGAAAAATGTGGTTATTATTCCCACACAAATGGTTCTTTGTGTTAGAAAAACCATACTCTGGTTGTCTGTGTTCTTGGTGTCAATGGGATGTAAATCAAATGACTTTCAGCTTATATGGATTGAGTATTTCTTGTAACCGATAATGCAGAACGTTTAAGCAAGCTTGCAAAAGGGCTTTTTTTCCTTCGCCTTAATTTCACCTCTGGGTTAGTCTTATAAAGTTATCCTGCTACATTAGCTCTAGTGACATTTTATATACCACCTTGGGAGTAACTTAAGTGTTTCCCTTTTACCAAAACCATAGACATTTTCAAAATTCTTACAAACAGTAGGCAGAATGTAATCCATATCCCATACAGACTTACACCGTGTGTGGTGGGTGTAGCATGCATAAAATTGTACATAGGCAATGTTTAATCTCATGTAATAAAAGCTTAATATTTTTCCAAGCCCCCCAAAGATACATTAGTCACAGCTTCTTACCTTTAATGGAGGCTCAGGCAATGACGCAGAAAGTTCTGGAAGCCTAAGAAAACAAGAGATCTTTGTCATGGCTTTTTACCCACAATCAAATGGAGTGGGCCGGGCAAATGCAAGACTTGGCTGCCATTTTCATGATTCACCTTGAAATCTCTGCTGACCTTAATAGGCAATCAACCAAGGAAAGGAAAGAGAGAGCTCTTTGTAGGGATAAATCTGTAAATATCTAAGTTCCTACAAAAATGTGAGCTATTATTAGGATCACAGATTTAGGGCCAGAAGAGACCTTGTAAGATCATCTAGTGCAATACTCTCCTTTTACAAATGAAGAAACTGAGGCCCAGAAAAACAAAGAGACTTCCCCTAAGGTCATACAGGGAGTAAGTGGCAGGTCCTTTGATTCCAAACCTGGTAGTTTTCTATTGTCTCATGCTATTTCCATTATTATGTTGATACCAACCACACTAAATACTTTAAAATTCTGATGGAGCTGTGGATACTCCCTCCACAGGGAAAGATCACAAGTCCCCCAAGTCTTCTCATTCTGAGCAATTCTGATCCATGCCTTCCTACTGCATAGGTTGTCCTTCATGGGCAACCCATCCAACATACTCAAGTTTTCCCTCTAATTTTTTCTGCTACAAGCACTCAAGCTGCTCAAGTATTATCTTCCATTGACACTACATGGCACACCCACCTCCTTTTCTGGTCACATGTATTATGGATGATGCCTCACAGTACTTCCTGAGTATGAGTAATGATTGGTGAAATGTAGCAGGCTTCTTATATCACCATTTGTCTTTCCATTGTCCTCTGAGCTACTTGTACTTTTAATTATTCTAAGTTAAGTGAATAATTATATAATAGCTCACATTCCTATAGAGCTTTATAGTTTAAGGAACACTTTACATATATCTCATAAATTCAAATGAGGTACACGGTACAAATATTGTAAACCTCATTTTACAAATGACAAAATCAAGGTTCACTTTTCCAAGGTCACTTTAGTAAGATAATAGAACCAGGATTCGAATCCAAATCCTGGGAATAAGGATCTAAAGAAAGAGAACATATTTGCAACACCAAGTGATATGGAAGGACAATTGTTTCATTTATATATCTTTCTAGAGTTAGAGGAAAAAATAATTTAGGTAGTCTAACCATCCCCAAAACAATATTTTGGATACTTTATTGACACACCCAGATTTAAAAAACTAAGTAAAATAAAAAACTTAAAATTATTCTAATACAAGCCATATTTTCTAATCCACATTTATATTCTAACTAGGTAGCCCACATTTTAACGCACACACACACACACACACACACGCACACACACACATTCTTTGACATTTAAGCTCCACAAATCACTGAAGATTGAGTTTCTTTTTACCTATTGTAGACGCATAGTAGATTCCAGAAACTTATTGCCTACTTAATAATAGGTAATTTGTAACCATGAACAAAAATAGTTGTTATTTCATTTTTTGGTCTTGACTTTATAGAGAAACTTGTTTATTTTGCTTTTTGTTTTTTCAGAGAAGGAGGGAAAAAAGTAAATACATATTGGGATGGGAAAAGATCAAAGACAAAAATCAAGTTTCTAATTAGTACAAGTTCTCCATTGAGAAACAAAGCTACATAATTCATTAAGAAATGAACTGGCAAAGTTCCTGGTAAACGCACAAATTTAACATAGATTGGCACTTTCTGTAACTGAAAAAAGTTAGAGTATCCAGAGGAGTAAACTCAAGAAACATTAATTGGTACATGTGTCATAGACCTTATTTGTGGCTGTCCTATGTAATGGGTTGTCTACTTAATCTCTTACGTGATTGCCATCCAGGTCTTCCAAGGTGGCAAATAACTAAGTGAATGGGAATTATCAGCTAGCTTCAGGGAGAAGAGCTCCAGGTCTCAGATTCAAAACCAAGGTCATATGATAGATCATGTTGCCTGCTCTTTGAGACCCACAGAAATTTGCTAGTCAATCAGCAGTCTTTATTACAGGCCCATACTATATATATTGCTAGAGAAGGATGAGGAGAGCAACACAGACTCAAAAAAGATATAAGATCACTGTGTTTACCCTCAAAGAGTTTCCAATCTATCTACATGAAGCCTTTCCTGTTCACCCAATTGCTAGTGACTTCCTTCTTAAACTACCTTAACTACTCTGTATTTATTCTCTTAATTTATTTTTATGATTATATTATGTATAATTATATTGTTACAAATATATATTTATTTTATCTTTATAACAATTATTCTGTACACATGTACACAGGCACACCCATACACCCACATATACACTTGGCTTCCCAATTAGAGTGTAAGTTCCTTTCAAGTAGGCATTGTTTCACATATCATATCTGTATCCCTCATACCTAGCTAGAAATACTGTATTTATCCCTAGAATGGTTCATTGATTAACTAGCAGCAGTGTCTATACCTTCATTTTTGGGACAAAGGAACTAACCATTGCTGATCACCTTACTCTTCTGTAACCCCCAACACATATATAAACAGTGCATACGCCAGTGAAAAGCATGTCCTCTAGCTACAGTCATTGTGCTACAATTCAGATTGTGTTCCCCATGTGTGTGGTGATGGGTATACATCTTTCTTATAACACAGAGAGCAGAGAAGCAAGCATTTATTAAGCATTCACTATGTGCCACTAAACTCTGGGGATACAAGACAAATTAAATACTCTCTCCCTCCAAGGAGCTACAATATACAATAGAACACAAACATATAATAGTATACAATAGAGTATACATTGTTGTGGTTCAGTTGTTTTTCAGTTATTTTCGACTTTTCGTGACTCTATTTGAGGGTTTCTTAGCAAATATAAGTGTTTTGCGAATATAAGAGTGGTTTGCCATTTCCTTCTCCAGCTCATTTTACAGATGAGGAAACTGAGGCAAACAGGGTTAAGCAACTTGCCAAGGGTCACACAACTAGGAAGTGTCTGAGGCTGGATTTGAACTAAGGAAGATGAGTCTTCTTGACTGTAGGCCCAATACTCTATCCACTGCACCACCTAGCTGCTCAGCATACGTATACAAACACATAATAGTAGCAACAATTTACACGTGAATGGAGAACTTTCAGTTTTACTAAATACTTTCCTCATAACCCGGTAAGGAAGGAAATACAAGTATTAGAACCACTATTTTATAGATAAGGAACTGAGGCTCAAAGAACTAAAGAGTGTCTTGACCATCGGCCCAAGTGTTGGTTGGGTTCTGAACATCAGTGTTCTGCTTCCAAAACTAGCATTTTTTTGTCCTACAGCAGGATAGTTTTGATTTCACAAAGAAATTTAATGGAACCTTGAAATCTGATGCTTTTTAAAACAGCAGCCCAGAGCTAATTTTTTTTCCCCTTCCTCAATTATCACAATGCAAATCTACAGGGCAGCTCTGAAATAGAGTAATTTGGGGATCAAAATAAATGCAATAAATTTGTCTTCCTAAATCATATTAACTCTTCATTTCATCCTTTGATATGAATTAGTTTTGATGTATGGAATGTCAAACTATCAAAAACCATAAAAAGAGCCTCCAAACCACCCAATATTTGACACGGAATAAATAGAAACCTTATTATCAAAAATTATCATTCGATAAGCAATTCCTTTTGGATATCAAGGGAATTTTTTTCTTGGGTGACAAGAGGCAGTACACTTCCTTAGCATGAATCATACTTACTTTAAGTATTTAGCCAAGTCTTCACTTAATTCCTTAGGTATATATTCAGATATTAGGCCATGAGCATAACGGATATAATCCTCTGAAAGAAAATGAAATTAAAGCTGTAAGAAAAAAAAAAAAGAAAGAAAGAACCAATCCATTATCCAAGGATTATTTTACAATTTAGATCCTTGCATGGGGTAGCTTTAACAGTATGGAATGGCCACAGTTTTATATGCACAGGTTTTTTTTCTTAGCTGAGTAGTTCTGGTTATTTCTCTTCCAACATAACATTTATAATGAAATCCACTGTAACTAGGGTGATTATTTTAGAGAACTGAAGTAATCTACAGACTATGTCCTTGAAAAGGTATTTGCTTTAACAGGATACTTAACATTATATGTCTTTTCTGTAGAACTAATAAAATGTATTTTTTTTTAAAGTAAAAGGCTAACTCAACAGAATGTATAATCATTAATTCTAAAGCATCTGGATCTTACAGTTATTTGGCAAACGCTTCAGGACTAAAATATGGTTCTGGCATTAGTTGGAAACAGTTAGATAAGACCATGGAATCTGTTTCAGAGTCTTGTTCGTAATGTCAGTATTTCATATAAAATACTAGAGCATAACTAAACATCATTAGCAAGGCAGGATAATCATATGGGGGCAGAAATTGCTCAAAGTCATTTTCAGAGTTGAGACCTCCTGCTTTTAGAATTATCTCCACCACTCTTCCCATTACTGCTTATAAACAAGATAATGCTTGATCTCATCAACGTGGATATTCCTCAAATACAGAATTTAACTCATTCATTTCTGTCCAACTTGTGTGACTCCTATTCATGTCTGCCCACAAGTCTGCCCCTGAGCTGTCCAACCATGGTGCTACAGTTCCTCACATTCTCCTGACATCATAAGGATACCAGTAGAGCAACATGGTCTTCTACCTGTTATCCCCTGCTCTCACATGAGCAGCCTATCTTTTTTATTTGGTTACATTTCTTTGATGATTTTTCACTCTGGTCCTTCTTCAAGTTCCCTCTTTGTTATATGATGCATTCTCCTCATAATCATCAGTTTTCTCCATTGTCCTCTGAGTGACCCTCACTTTTTATTCTTCAGGAACCTTCATATTCCTTGACTAGGGATCATACCAAAACAACTCATTTGTATTAAAAAGTAGGGCATTTGTATTAAAAAGGTGGGACTTTGTTTCTGAGGAAGGTTTGTCATTATTAAGGAAACAATTTCCCAAAACAATTTGGCCCACTCTCTTTTTCCTGTTCAACTTTTTAATATATTGGCAATGTGTGTCCAATATATATGATGCAGGGACAATATTTTGCTTTTTCTTCATATTCCTGGCACTTAGTATAGTGGCTGGCACTTAGTAAGAAATTGATAAATGTTTACTGTTTTGTTAATAGACAAGCTCTAGGTTTTCCCTCTAACTGCAGACAATAGGCAAGTTTCATCTATTGTTTTTTTTCCCCCTTACATGGATAGTTAGGCCAAATTTTACTTTAAACATACTGTCACAAATTGTGCCTCAGGGTCAGCTTAAAAACAATTAAGATTTTATATCAATCTGACCAGGAAAACCCAATATGCATAATGGCAATGGCGTACAACCTTCTTTACGGCTGTGAGACTTGAACCATACTTAAGATTAAGTGGCTGGTTAAGATCACTGTCATAATCCTGGAAAATAGCCAGTAGACCAATGCAGAAAATAATGTTATAACAAATAATAGTAACAGTGATACTTTGATGAACTTATTCTCAGTAGGGGTAATCTTTTCACCAGTGCCAATTATAATCCTTTCATAACTCATCTTATGTGTGATTCCTGTCCATATCTTTCCCCATAAATCTTCCACTGAAGGTCTACCAAATGTACTGGAGGCCCTTCCTCTTAATCTTTTAATATATCAAAGGTACAAAGATATTGATATAACAGCACTTGGATTGTCTATCTATTGTCTTTCTCATTACATGATCAGTCGGCCTCCTTTTCCTGTCTTGTCTTATGTGTCCTGAAAATTATTTTTTATGTATGTAAGCTATCACTGGAAAAATGCTATAGTCTGTTTGTCCTACCAGGTATAGTTCCACTACTCACTGGATTAGTTCTAAGTTGAATTCTTCTCAGATTATGGTGTCCTATGATTTGTAGACATAGAGTATCAAGCAGGGAACAGTTGTGTTAAAGAGAGAGGCTTTTTTTTGTGTAGGATCAGTAACAGTAATTTCCCAAGGGTGATTCATCTCAATCTTTTCCTTCATTCCATTATAGACATAGCTCACTGTCTTATCCATGAAAAACAGTTTGCCAAAGGACGAATCCAGTAGGCTGTAGTCTAGTTGTATGTCAGAGTCTGGGCAACATGAACTTTAGTTTTCCTTGTGAATGGCTAAAATAATTTCTGCTGCCTTGCTCTGGATTTCACGAAGGAGGTTTTGAAGTGTTCTGGGACTCTATATAATAAGCACTTTGTCATCTATAAAAAGGAACATTTGTAAAACCATCATCCATGAAGAATCATTCTCTTGTTTACAAATCTTCCAAGACACTGGAACACACCTATCAACCCTCAGTGGATCAGCAAACTTATGACTATAAACTCATTATTTTGCATAATTTTAATGTACATGTGGGAGAAACCTTATCTAAAGTCTGCAAGACTTCAATTTCTTCAAATACTTTTTAAAAAATTAACAAACAACAAACAGTAGGTTCTTATATTTTCTATGTTTAACTGTATGACTTTAAATATTTGGTCTGCTATAGAAAATCATTTGCAAAAGCCTGCTTATTCCCTTCTCATGTTTTCCTCCAAGAGGTCTTCCATCCATAGATCATCCTAAAGTTTTATAGAGATGAGAAAGCAGGTATCTTGATTGATAGTTGAGGTTTTCCTGGTCACTTATCTTTTTAATGTGATGTTTTCTTTAGAATTCTCTCCTTCTTTTAGAGATCCTGAGAATTGATCCAAGTACCTTTTAAATTGTGTAATCTCTAGGATATATTTCTTCTTTAAGTATTTAGCCAGGCCTAGCCATTCATCCTAACTTTACTCTCAGAAGTGATACTGCTTCAAATAACACCCTGGATACCAAGATGATTGCATCCAAATGTGGTTCTACTGTTGCGATTATGTGAAGAGACCCATATAAACACACTGGCCAACCTGTCCCACTTCACATCTGTTTGTTTTCCTCCCATTGTCACTTATAAATTGTCACAGCAAATCTGGCTTTTCCACTGTTCTGTTAGGCGTTGCTACTTAAAACCTTCTGGCATTATTCCCTGTAAGGCTTTGGAAATGAGGCATCAGATCACAGACTTAGAGGTGGAAAGGAGATTAGAAGTCATCAAATCCAAGCCCTTCATTTTACAGTTGAAGAAACCAAGGCCCAAGGAAGCTAAATTATTTGCCTGAAGTCACACACACATGATGAGCATCGGGAGAATGATCTGAATCCAGGTCTTTGGGCGCCAGGGCCAGCACTCCTCTCATACCCCATTGCCTCCTAGCACCGTCAAGATTTGAACTAAAGGCTTGTTCTACAATAGAGCATTGCCTCTGTTAGACATCATGCCTCTCCACTTGTCAAGGAAATTAAATGCCTTGGCTGAAATGGGTTCAGGTTTCAAAAGATATGCTTCAACCTGCTCACTGCAGCAACTGTTTTGCATAAGTTAAATGTTCATAAGAAATGATGAATTAATCAATGTCATTTCCCATTTTTCAAAGCAGAGAGTCTCTTATTTCCTGACAGTTCCTGCCAAACTCCACCTGTGACCACTTTCACACTGAGTATATTATGGCATATAGTGACTTAGCTTGGCGGATCTCATCAAATTCTTACAAAGCACTCCCTCCTTCTTCTATTCTCACACGTGTTGATACATAAACTGTAGCTATCATCACAGTGGGCTGTTCAGCCACAGGTCACAGATGCAGAGCTGGGAGGGACCAGGAAGGTCAACAAGTTGAACCCTCTCACTTCACAGATGAAGAGATGGACTTGCCCAGAGTCACTGAGCTGCTAAGAGTCTGAGGCAGGAGATAAACTCGGGTCTTCCTCACTCCTAAGTCCAATGCTCTTTCTTCTGCACCACCAAGTTGCACAACTTTCAATGATGCTGCAGAGCTGTGACACATGAGGAGATAGCAGCAGCAGACAAGCCAAAATGACCTTGGGAACCAAAGATGTATCGCCTGTGATGCTGTCTGCCAACAGCAGCTACACTGAAAATTTACTGGGCTCCTCTTAAGTGTTGAGAACACTTCTAGGCACTCTGGGGAATATTAAAAGAAATCTGAGACACTGTCTCTCCCTAAAAGAAGTTTACAGTCTGAAAAGCAGCAATGATGAAAGGTCTCTTCAGCCACCCCTGCACATATGGGTAGGGAGCATTTCAACGTGATTGTTTTCTTATATGGATAACAATGGTCACTTTAAGGAACTCTCACTACATTATGCAAACATTAAGAAGTCATATTCTTTTGTGAACTACCCACTTTTCTGTACTTAAACTGTTTTTTTAATATGACTACCGATGGCCTAATGAATATTTTTTAAAATAGTCAAAAAAGCAAAAAGAAAGGTTCTTGGGTGTTGTTGTTTTTTTTTTAAATAAAATTCCTGAGTGTAAAAGTAATTTTCCATAGCCTCATTCCACAATGAATAAGATTTCTTAAACTCCTTAATTAAGTCATTCACTCTTTATGAAATTCAGAGGTAACCTTTAACAAACATTCAAAATAAGCATAACTAACATTATTCTACCCTCCCTAGAGCCTCCAAATTACACAATGAAAAAACAAAAACTAAATGATGTATGAGGAGCACAAAAAGTGTCCTCATCTTTCTCTTGTTACCTGGGAAACTATTTTGAACTACAGGCACTCCCCAGCTTTGAGAGGTTCTATTCCAAAAGTTCACTTGTAAGTTGGACGTTTATTTGCAAGCTGAAATATAAGACTCCTTCATCCACATCAAGACCTCTCTAGACGCCATGGCCCTTTCCAAATGATTTTTAAAACCATATCAGAAATGAAGTCATCTTGTTTTTTAGGATTACTGATGCCTAGGGGAAAGGGATTTCAGGGTCAGCTTAACCCAGAGGGGAATAGGGTCAGTGCATCCTACAGCAGAAAGAACTGAATCTGGATTCAGATGCCCAAGTCCCAATTTTGCTACCAATATTAACTATGAGACTTCAGGCAATTTAATTAACCTGGGCTTCTGTAAAATGAGGGGAACCTTCTAAGGTCCCTTCCAGCTCTAAATCTGAGTCAAAATTAGAAAAATAATATGTTCCAAATCAGAGTTCAAGGTACAAGAAAAGAGTACCCTTTTCCCACCAGTCACAGAAATAGCTGGAATCTCACCACTTCTAGCATGGTACTGGCTGGCAGACTGTGCAAGGAATGTTTGTAAGATGACTGCCATTTATTATGCTGTGAACTACTCTTCAAATTTCTTTTTAAATAAAATGACTCAAGCTGTATATATCTGAGTTATACAAAGGGACAGTGGCACAATGGTCTCTGTGAATAGTCTTGAGATTTCTAGAAACCAATCACAATGCATAAACATACAGGTAAGTAGAACTCTTCTAACTATCAAACAAGGAGAGGGAGGAATTGAAAGAATGTTGTTTGGCAGGTATCTATTGAACCCCCACAGTTAATTATAGGCTTCAGTTTCCTCTTGTATGAAGTAAGGAGGTTTCACTATACGTTCTCCAAGTTTCCTCCCAGACCTAGAATCCTGTGTTCTATAATTCCAATCACAAGCTTAGGTACAGTCATTTGCAGAAAGGACTGACAGCCTGAACCCAGAAAGATAAGAAGAGACAGAGATGAAAGAACAGATTTCAGAACTGTGTCAGCTGGGTCTGAAGCCGGAAGTGATGGATACTACAGTTATGTTAGGGATTAAGTCTAGCTGAGCTAGACAATAGATTGAAAGCAGAGAATCAAAGAAGTCATGTAGTAGATCAACTAGTTTAGTTGAGACATAGTGCCCAGTGAGTTGTTTATCAAAGACAGTGCAGATCAGAGATGGGGAACCTGTGGCCTTGAGGCCACATGTGGCCTTCTAGGTCCTTGGGAGAGGCCTTTTGACTGAGTCTAAGTTTTACTTAACAAATCTTTTTATTAAGGGGATTTGTTCTGTGAAGTTTAGATTCAGTCAAGGGGCTGCACTTGAGGATCTAGAGGGCTAGCCTTGAGGCTGCAGGTTCCCCACTCCTGGTGTAGATTAACCCAGTTTAGCAGGGGAAGCATTTATTCAACATATAAGCTACATACATCAAGGAAACCTTATGGACAGTTCTTAAGACAACGAGGATACTGAGGTTTACAGTTCTAGAAGAGTGAGCTACCCTGAGTACACGTGTTTTCTTCACTTAGGTGTCTTCTTTGCAAATTTCTGTGTGGGCCCACTCTTCCCCTACAGAAACCTGAGTGCTTTGGTGGGGTTAACCCAGGTTTATTTGTGGACTGTGATATAATTACTTTTCCTATATTTGCTTTAATATATGAGATATTATTATGTCTTTTGCCTTACTGCTAAATAAATGAGTATTCATAAAATCTAAAAGTGCGATTACTGTGAGTAGCTGATTGTGTATATAGAAATACATCATGAGGATTCAAGACCTGGAGTGTTGGACAGGGGGAATATATTCCCTCACAATAGAGTGACTCCTAGGACTCAGAGGGAGTTTGAGTATAACTGATGGAAGTCCTTTTCTGGGAACCTAAACCTGCTTGTGAAAAGGCAGACTGGAAGTAAGCCAGTCCAGGGAGTGAGCAGGTATCCACACATCTAGGTGAGAGATGTGAGGTCTTGCAGAGTGGGTGGCCAACCCATTAATCCATTATTTCTCTTGAGAAGCATAACCACTGAGCAGCGACTTGTAAATCAATCAACAAGCATTTACTAAGTGCCTACTTTATACCAGGCACTATGGTAGGAAATGGGAATACAAAGATGGAAACTAAATGGCCCCTGTCCTCAAGGGATTTATATTCTATAAAGATGTTCATCTAGGTGATCCAATTTAATTCATATCTAAGGCATTACTCCCATCTACGACATCTAAAATAAATGGTTAATTAACTTCTACTTGAAAAACTGTAGTGATGGAGAACAAACTCACAACCTATGAAGCAGCCAATTCCTTTTCAGACAGCTCTAATTGTTATTGGTCCTTACACTGAACCACTACATCTGGCATCAAGTGACCCATATCTGAAGCCTGGCTCCGTTACTAAGTCACCTCACCTCTGCTGGTCATCTTAATCTATAAGGTCCCATCTAACTTTAAATCCTTTTACGTCATAAAATCTAACTCTGTAACTGCTGCTCTTTTGTTCTTGTTTTGCTCTCAAAGCAGAAGAAGTCTTCCACGTGAAAACCTTTCAGATTTCTGAAGACAGCTGTCATGTCTTGTCTTCTCTGATTGAAGTACCCAGTTCTCTCATACCATCCTTGGAAGGCGTGATTTGAGTCTTCAACTTGTAAACTTATCTATTTTTTTCAATTAGAATACACAATAATCATGCACATAATTGAAAAAGTGCCCTACTTTTCTTCCTGTAAAGTACACTAGTTTTGAATCTAAGTCAAGCTTTTAATATTTAAGCAAATATTAATAAAAGGAAGTCTGCCGCAAAATGGCACTTGAATCAGAAAAAAATTACATCCCTGTTACATGTTCTCACAAAAGAAATAAATATCAGAAATGAAATAAAAATAAAAATAAAAGGCTTTAAAAATTTGCAGATAGGTATTGAGCTGCCAGCATCTTACTCTATTCTAAGATGGCTGCTGCTGCAATATATCAGATGCAAGTCCCACCTCAGGCACTTACCAGCTACATGACCCTGAGGAAGTCATTTAACTTCTCTGTATCTCAGTTTCCTCATCAGTGAAATAAAAGGATAGATCTGAAGGCAGCTGTGGTCCCTTCTAACCTTAATCTATGATTCTATGAACTTACCTTCTTTGACATCAGAGCCATGGTCACCCGGGACAAATGTGGCGGACAAAACTCGGGCACCTACATTTACATTGCTGATTTTTAAAGCTCTCACAGTCTGATCCACCTACAGAATGATAAAAATGGGAAGAATGAAGGAAATCAGTGCCTATTAAAAGAACACTTGAGCCTTTCCAATTTGGAAAACTATGCCACAAAGACTGAGGAAGAAAATAACATAAGGCTTTGTAGAGGCCAATAAAGTCGCTATTTAAGGGACTGAGGAATGAGTATTTTAGGTTCTATAAATACCTATACAGTACCCCACAAGATCAAAGATGACTCTAGACTCAGAAGAAAATTATAGAGAAATGATAACACTTCAGTTTATTCCTAATATATGTATATCTAAAACTCTAACTTAAAATTTTCCCTAAGTGCAATAAGCATGAACCTCTGCTTACTCAAAGAAATATAAATTCACTTAAACCATTAACAAGGACTGAGTAAGGGAATATTAGATGAGGCACCAAGATTCTATTCAAACATTTTCATCAGCTCTTATTCCATACATAAAAAGCTGGGGAATGCTACAAATCTTACAAGGCACTGCCATGATAATTTAGCAAAATTAAAAGTGAAAAATCAGTGATCTATTTTGTAACATCTCACCCTTTTCCAAGGCTGACAGGACATTGGCTAGAGTTTCATTAGGTCAATTTACGTTATCTAGACTCAAAGGACACCTACCCTATATTATACTGTCACAGGCACAATTATGAACATAAAATGTAGAAACACAGGAAACACTAAATTCTTACTGGTCCCGGAAACCTCATAAAAGGATGGTCTTCAACACTTCTGTCTTGGACAAATTTTTATAGCAAATTTGGATGCACTGACAGCAATTCTTAGCCTGGAGTCTGTGAACTTTTTTTCCCATATATTTTGATAATTGTATTTCAATATAATTGGTTTCCCTTGTAATCTTATGTATTTTATTTTATGCATTTAAAAACCTCTCTCTGACAAGGGGTCCACAGGCTTCACTAGACTGCCAATGGGGTGCATGACTCAAAATGCGTTAAGACCTCCTGGTTTAGGATAACAAGGTCATTGCTTCCCAATCATATATTTCTGCTGGGCAAATAAGTTTTACTTAAGAGTGTGTTAATAAAGGACATCCTATGGTGTTTAAACTAATAAAAGAAAGATCCACCCTTCTCCAGCTTGTCTCCACAGGACATGTCTGCTAAATGACTGATCAAATAGCAACAGCCTGACTTTGTGCTTATTTGCCAGGCTACCAATAGTATGTAAAACAGGAGAACACCTGATGCTCTCTGGCATGGCAGATCCATACCTCTATTAAGAACCCCAGGTTCTTAGGGAATGAGCTGACAGGAATTCAGATAGAACAGATAACTGTGTTAGCTTCTGACAAAAATAATAATAATAATAATAATTATAACTGATCCAGGTAGAGCTTGAAGACCAGTTGGCAGTATCAGTACATGATCTTTTAGAACTAATATCAATTAGTTGCCAATGGCTTCCACAACTTAGTGCTAGTTATATTTAGTATATCAAACATAATCTTATGACTAAATGACTATTAAGGGGAGTAACTTGCATTTCTAGACCTGATTCCTCCCATATCTTTTATCTCCTTCAAGACCTCTCTACTTGGATATTGTCTCCCAACCTGAATCAAGATCCTGTTTCTACTGCTTACTTGCTATTTTACATGTATGAGACCCAAATTGTATAGAATTAGTCTGGGTCCTTTCTAGAAAATACTAGGGAGGTTCTGTGAAAGTGAAACATCCTCATGAGAAATCTGAACATATGAATGACTCTAATTAAGGTAAAACAAAATGAATAAACAATCAGCCTTGAGAGCAGAAATGCAACCTAGACTCTTAACTAATAGATCTGTAAATATTTGTTCACTGTTTTGATGTTCATTAACCTGCATCTTTAGCCATAATTTTAGTATATCTTTATTAAGGTTGATATGAAGACAAAGACAAATCTTATGAAACTATATAATCATCTACAAATAGTCCAGTAGAAATTGTCCAAATGAGGACATAAAAATTATAGTTAATTGAAAAATATCTTGAATTTAGCATGATGCCTGGCACATAGTAGGTGCTTAGTAAATGTTTACTGACTAATGTTTATCAACTAGTTGAACTACAGTGAATTTAAAAATAGTATGAAATTTTAATTCAATGTTACTAGTATTGCAATTTATTTCATACTTATTAACTCATAGAGGTAAGTTGAGGTTTTTTTATTTGTTTAACTAGACTTTGAACTCACTGTTTTCCAGGTCAATAAAAATATTTTTCACCACTTTGCCCATATTCAAACTGCCCCACTTTACATGGGTGCCTTGTCATATTTGTCTGTATGTTTCTGTCTAGATGGCAAGAGGAAGTCTAGTCCAGTGTCAGACTTGGAAAGAGGAAAGACGTAAGCTGTAGTCCTTGTTCTGCAGCTTGCTAGCTATGTGACCTTGAGTAAGTGGTTTAACCTCTTTGAGTCTCAATTTCCTCACCAGTAAAATGAGAATAATAATATTTCCATTACCTAATTCATACTGCTGCTGTGGGGAAAGTGCTTTGCAAACCTTAAAGAACTCTAGAAATGAATAATTATTATTAATAAGCTTTTAATTGGATCAGACTTGGCAATTCTCATGTAGCTTTTCTGGCTCAGTTCATTCTACAAAGCTGTTTCAAATCAAATAACTTGTTATATTAATACTCCCACTTTAAACAGGCAGGCATTTAATGCTTAAAAAACAAACAAACAACTATACCTTTTTATTCAGCCACTTCAATGTTTTCTCCTTGCTGTACTTATAAAACTTCTTATTTCCAATTTCTAGGTTAAAATAAAGAGGAAAAAGAAAATCAGAGCTATGGGTGTAACCCAAAAGAAACTCAAAAGCTACCTGATATGCATGTTAGCTTTCAGAATTTATCTAATCACGCAAGTGAGATACTTCACTGAGAAAAAAACAGTTTCTTGCTTTCCTAGTCACAAATAACACATAAAGAGGTATAGAAACATTTTAAAGACTCATCAAACTAACATATGAGTTACTTTTTCTTTTCTGAAAATTTAAGATCACCTCAGTATTTATGAAAAGTCCATTCCCTAAAATCACATGGGAAAACCCTACTTATAGTTGTAGATCTGCCACTGACAAAAACCATGCAACTACAGAGCAAGTCGTAACATCCTTGGGCCTCAGTTTCCTAATCTGTAAAACAAAGGAGTTGACTGAAAAGCTCTGGGAACTGTCTTCCACTTTCAACAGTACATGATCCTGTAAATTTTAACAATAGGAACCAAGCTTACAGAAGAACTGGCAGGCTGTTACATAACCTTAACAAAAAGTTTGTTAATCACTCCATTCTGACATGAAAGGATTGGTATAATACTAAGAAAAGATTCATATAGGAATCATAAATGTATTACCAGTATGACCAGCGAATTATCTCAAAAAATTCAGATTTACATTATAATCAGCCTGTTCCTGTATGGGGATAAAAGTTACACTTCCCATAAAACACATTCCTCCTTGCCCACAATGTATCTAAGCAGCTTTGAATACCATTAAACAAATGTACCCATCTGCAACATTCTTCAGTTCAAGAGAGTATGTATTTTCTTTGTAACTAGCAATGGTATCGCTTCCACTCCAATGCTTCCTCCCCTCCACCATGAATATTCTTATGGCCACTGTAAATTACAACGCCAGATTGGTGTTTACCACATGTAACTCCATGGTAATTATCCCAAAGAGTTATGTAGAATGACTTTTTTCCCTTCCTCTACATGGAAGTAATGGGAATGGAAACTGTTTGGACAAGGAAACCTCACTGTATTTGCATTAAATCATTTGTACCAATACTAAATGATCTGCATCCCAGTAGGGCTGGGAGGTCCCAGGACTCCATTGCTGTATATTTCTTCTCCATTTTTACTGCAGATTTCTCAAAATTAAGACCAACAATAAGGTAAGAAGTAGTGGCCTTATTCCATTTTCCCCACAGTCTTAAGTGTCTTCCTTGGAATAACAGAAAGGAAAAATATGTACAAATGGGATTTTGTCAGAAATATAAGACCTCCTGCCCATAAATTTCTTGCCTATTGGTTCAGGGGACTACCTGGAAGAGAGTAGGGTCACTGGGGAAACATTTTTCAGAATCAGGGCAGAATATAAGGGGAAAAAAATTGTTGTTTTTTTTTCTCAGAAGTAAAGGGCATTCCCTATCCTGTGATCTACTAAACACTTCAGAGGAGCCATAAGAATTTACTCATAAAGAAGGTTCTGATGGTGGCCGGAGATGAAGAAAACATACAATTTTATTCTGTGTTAGCAACTTGCTAATATTACTACGGGTATTAAATTGTGACAAGTAGTCACGGGAAACTGCAGCAAAATTGGAAACATATTCTATTTTTAAGGTAAATATTTGACAAATTATCTTACTTTTCCATATGCCCATGTTTTGGACAGCCTGTCTTTTTTGTATTACCTTTATATTTCTTTCAGAGGATGCATAGATTATTAGAGGTATTTGTCCTAGCCTTAAGATGGCACCCTGCATACAAGCAACCACATAAACCTCTGTAGGCTTACTCTCATGTATGTCTTTGGCTCCAAAAAAGCCTTTTGAACTCACAGTGCTTATCTGCTCCATTTTGCAAATGTTGTCACAAAAGTCATACCCAATAATGTCACATAACCATTTTTTAAAAGCCTTAAAAATAGAATTACTAGTTCTCCAATATGTAGGAGCCCTTAAAAGAATGGATCATGCGGGATATTTTTCATAGAGACTTTAGTGCAAAGAGATAGGGTGATACAACTAATGCCTAAGCAGGAATGCCTCAACAAATACTCCAGAAAGTGGTTATCCATTCTCCATTCAAAGCCCTCTAATAATGGAGAACTTAGTAGTTCAAGAGAAAACTCATTTCAGTTTTGATCATCTCATAAATGTCAGGAAGTTCTTCCTTATACCATGCCCCCACCCCCAATCTCTGTGCTCCTAGTTCTGCAGTAGGGGGTCAAGGAAAACAAATATGGCCCCTTTTCATTCGTTCATAAACAGTAAGTATCTACCATGAACAAAGTACCATGATAGATGCTGGAAGAGATACAAAGCTTAGCCTAGACAGGTCCCTAGTCCTCAAGGAACTTAAAGTCTAGTAGGAGTCTTCTACATAATGGACCTTTACATATCTGAAGGCTGCTATCATATCCTTCATAAACCTTTTTTTCCCCAGGCTAAATATCTCTAGTTCCTTAGAATAAGAAGACAGCGGACATTAAAGAAAAAGGATTTCAAATGCTTAGAAAAATCATAGAAAGAAGCACAAAAAATAGTGCAGTAGGAAAAATCCTAAATGATATGAAATTAAACTAGAATGAAGCTAACTATATTTAAAAAAAAAAGCAGAATCTATCTCCTATATTTTTCCTCTACCTTTACAGTCTCCAGTTCTAATTCAAGATGGTGAATATAGGTCATCTTTTGCCTCTTATATTTTTCAGATTATAAGAAACAGTTGAACTATGAAACTATTTCCAAAATATGTCCATAAAATAGTCATCTGTCTCCACACTACAATGACAAATAAAGAGAGTAAGGTACAGTGAAAAGAACATAAGCCTAGGAGACAAAAGACATGGACTCTCATTCAATCTCTGCTAATAATGAGTTGTGTGACCTTAGTTGATTCACTTAACCTCTATGGGCTTCAGAGGATCATGGATGTAGAGCTGGAAGATTTATAGATTTAAAGTGTAAAAGCACCTCAGAGGCCCACTAGGACATTCCTCCACCCTAATTTTACAGATAAGAAAACTGAGGACAAGAAGGTAAATGATCTGAGTGAAGTTTTACATAGCTTAAGTGACCGAGAAAGACCCAAACCTAGGTCTTCAGATTCGGAAACCAGAGTTCTTTTCACTGCATTATGACTCCTCAGTTTTCAACAAAGTCAACAAGCATTTAAACACCTACCATGTACCAGGAACTGTGCTAAGGGCTGTGAATGCAAAGAATGCAAAATCTTTGATGTCAAGGAGCTCACAGTCTAATGGAGGAGACAACATGCAAATAAATATACATGTACAAGATACATAAAGGATAAGTTGGAGGTGATCTTAAAGGGAGGCTCTAGCATTTAGGGCTACGGGAAAAGGCTTTCTGGAAAAGGTAGAATTTTAGCTGAGACTTGAAGGGAGCCAGGGAGATGAAGGAGAACACTCCAGGCACAAGGGATAGCCGGTGAGAAGATACGGAATCAAGAAAGGGAATGTCTTGCCTGAAGAATGGCAAAGAGGCCATGTCACTGGTTCATACTTGGAGGGAAAAAGTAGAAGAAGGCTGCAAGGGGCCAGAATACAAAGGGTTTAAAAGCCAAACAGAGGATCTATGTTTGATGCTGGAGGTAATAGGGAGCCGCTGGAGTTTACTGAGTAGTGGAGGTGCAACATGGTCAGACTTGCACTTTAGGAAGATCACTCTGATAGTGAGGTGTTGGACAAACTGGAATGGAGAGATACTTGAGGCAGGGAGACCAACTGAAAGGCTACTGCAATCTAGTCCAAGTGTGAAGTGATGAGGGCTTGTACCAGGTAGCAGCCATGTTACACAAAAGAAGGTACATGGAAGACGTTTTAAAGGTAGAATCAACAAAACTTGGCAACAGACTGAATGTGGGGATGAGAAAACGTCAAGAATCAAGAGTCAAGTGAAGAGTCACAACACTTAGTGTTGTAAGACTGGGTGACTGGGAAGATAGTAGTCTCCTTGAAACTAACAGGAAAGTTTGGAAGAGAGGAGGGTTTAGGAGGGGGGATTCAACTTTGGACATGTTAAGTTTTAAGATGTCTACAGGACCTCCAATTGGAGATGTTCAATGGACAATTGGAGATGTGAGACTGGTGGTCAAGAGAGAGGTCAGGGCTGGATAAATAGATCTGAGAATTATCTGCATAGAGATAATTTAATCTATGGGAGCTAATAAGACCAAGGGAAATGGTATTGAGGGAGAACAGAAGACCCAGTACACAGCCTTGGGGACACTCATGATCAATGGCCTTGACCTAGATGAAGGCCCTGCAAGAGTTAAGGAGCAGTCAGATGGATAGGAGAACCAGGAAAGAAAAATGTCACAAAAACCCAGAGAGAAGAGAATATAAAGTGAAAGGGGTTACTGAGAGTTCCCAAGGCTACAGAGAGTTCAAGAAGGATGAAGATTAAGAAAAAGTCACTTAATTGGGCATTTAGGAGGTCACTGGTAACTTTGGAGAGAGCAGTTCTGGGTGAATGATAAGATCAGAAGACAGACTGGAGAAGAAGTGAGAAGGGAAGTGGAGATTCTGATTGTAGATCATGTCCTCAAGGAGTTTAGCTATGAAAGTGAGAAGAAATATAGCTAAACAGAGATGGACAAATCAGGTGAGGTTTTTCTGGATGGGAGAGTCTTTGTAGGCAGCAGGGAAGCAGTCAACAGACAGGGAGAGATTGAAGATTAGTGAGAGAGTGGGGCAATCTGCTGGACAGGATAAGATGAAATAGGATCACTTGTCTGTGTAGAGGTTTGTCTTGATAAGGAGTTAGGCCACTTCTTCGTATGAGACAGGGATGAAAGAGAAAATAGTAAAGGAGAGTGATCTAAGGTAAGAGGGAGGGTAGGAAGGAGCTCTTGGCCTCAAATTTTTCAATGAAGTATGAAGCAAGGTTTCCAGCAAAAAGAGAGGGAGGGAAGAAGGAAGGGAGAGAGAAAGAGAAGGGGAAAAGGGGAGAGGGAAAGGGAGGAGAGAGGGGGAGAGTATGTGAGAGCATGTATGTGTTAGA